GAGTTCCCCTTGTTGATCTATGCCCGCCGGGTTTCCAGGCATTCCATCAACCGAGGGCCCGGGGTAGGGGCGGTGGGGTAGCGGTCATTATAAGGGAGAGCCTATGTCCGAGGGAGACCACTGTGCCTCAGATAGACGGTGCAGAGTCCCTCCTTGTGAAGTGGGGGCAAGGGGTACAAGTGGGCCTGTTGATTATATATCTGGCCCCCTGCTATGTATCAACGGCCCTGCCTGAGCTGGCTGACGTAATAGCCGGGGTGGCGGTGGAGACCCCCAGACTTATAGTCATGGGGGATCTCAATCTGCCATCGGCGGGCGAAACGTCGGCGGCAGCTCGGGAGTTCTTGGCTTCCATGACGGCCTTGGACTTGACCCAATTAGTTCATGCCCCCACTCACACAGGAGGATATACACTAGATCTAATTTTTGTCTCTGGCCAGTGGCAGAATGATCTGGAAATGGGGGATGTAGTTATAGAGCCCTTGTCATGGTCAGATCATGCACTCCTTAGGATGGATTTCCGGACCGCTTCCCCCCGCCGCAGGGAGACGGAACCGCGTAGATGGTTCCGTCCCAGGTGCCTGATGGACCCGGAGAGGTTCCTGACGGAGCTTGGGCCATATCCGGAGGATCTAGTCCACGACTTGGCTGAAAATCTGGCGGCGGCCTGGGATGTGGCCGCAGCCGCAGCACTGGACCGAGTCGTGCCGTTGCGGCCTCTGACCCGACGCAGATCTCAACTAGCTCCCTGGTTTACCGAGGAGCTGAGAGAGATGAAGCGCCGGAAAAGATGCCTAGAGAGCAGTTGGAGGGCTACCCGAACCGAATCCGACCGAGCACAGGCAAGGATGCATGCTAGATCCTACCTTGTGGCAATGAGGGTGGCGAGGTCTAATTACTACTCCACCCTCCACCCTCATTGCGTCATCAGATAACCGCCCGGCCACCCTCTTCAGGGTGACCCGCTCCCTCCTTCAGTTGAGGGGGGGGACCCCCTGGTGGGGAGGGCTATCTGGACCCGCTCCAGTCAGGCTTCAGGCCGGGATACAGCATGGAAATGGCATTGGTCACGCTGGTGAATGATCTCTGGAGGGCCCGGGACAGGGGTTATTCCTCTGTCCTAGTTCTTTTGGACCTCTCAGCGGCTTTTGATACCGTGGACCACGGTATCATGCTGCGGCGCCTGGGGGAGTTGGGAGTGGGAGGCACTGTCATGCGGTGGTTCTCCTCCTTCCTCACCGACCGTACACAGTCTGTATTGGCAGGGGGACAGAGGTCGACCCCAAGGCCCCTAACTTGTGGGGTGCCACAAGGGTCGGTCCTCTCTCCCCTCTTGTTCAATATTTATGTGAAGCCACTGGGGGAGATCATTCGTGGCTTTGGGGTGGACTTCCATCAGTACGCTGATGATACTCAGCTGTACATTTCCACCCCAAGCCACCCCAATGATGCCCTTGACGTGATGGCCCGATGCCTGGAGGCCGTAAGGGTCTGGATGGGGAGGAACAGACTCAGGCTCAACCCTTCCAAGACCGAGTGGCTGTGGCTGCCGGCGCCTCGGCATAGTCAGCTGACCCCGTCGCTGACTATAGGGGGCGAAACTTTGGCTCCCTCGGAGAGGGTACGCAATCTGGGTGTCCTCCTGGACCCACGGCTGACACTGGAAGACCAGTTGGCGGCCATGGCCAGGGGGGCGTTTTATCAGGTACGCCTGATCTACCAGTTGCGGCCTTTTCTGGACCGGGACGCCTTGCGCACAGTCACCCATGCCCTTGTCACCTCCCGCCTGGACTACTGCAATGCTCTCTACATGGGGCTCCCTTTGAAGAGCACTCGGAGGCTCCAGTTAGTCCAGAATGCAGCCGCGCGGGCGGTGTTGGGAGGGACTCGTCGCTCCCATGTAATGCCGTTACTGCGCGAGCTGCACTGGCTGCCGGTGGCTTTCCGGGTGCGCTTCAAGGTGTTGATTATCACCTTCAAAGCGCTCCATGGCATCGGGCCTGGATATCTCCGAGACCGCCTTCTGCCTCAGATTACCTCCCATCGGCCGGTACGCTCCCACAGAGTGGGTCTCCTCAGGGTGCCGTCAGCCAGACAGTGCCGGCTGGCGACCCCCAGGGGGAGGGCCTTCTCGGTGGGAGCTCCCACCCTATGGAACGAACTACCCCCAGAGATCAGGGTGATCCCTGATCTCCCTTNTTTTTTTTATTTCTGGTGGCAAATAGGAAAGGAGTGATTTTCCATTAAGATGGAAGTAATTATCAAAAATCTGAGTTTGTTGCCATTGTCCATGGCCACTTTTAACTGTGCTTCTCACATTTTGTGCATCCTATTAGGCTTTATATATAGAAAAAAAATTCTGGACAGTGTACAGAATTTGCTGCTTGAACTTATTTCTTTCTATCCACTCTAAACGAAATAGGAATGAGATACACGTTCAAAGCTAACAGGAGGTGAGGAACTAAGTCCCTTGATACATCAGGCTGACTCACTAATCTTGACCTGAGCTAGCTCAGGACATTGCAAAGTAGCCAAGCACTCCCATTCAATTGTAAGCAAGGTCAGA